TTATTTCCAAAAAATTTCCATTCTGCCCCACTGTGGATTCTTTATCATTATATCGTACTTTATACCAAAAGGTTCATCTGGTGACTTATTTACTACAATTGCGGATCTGATCAATGTAGTTCAAGGTATTTTGGTATTTTCATGTTTTGTTTTGAGACCAAAAGTATGGCATTTAGTAATAAAAAGGTACAAAATCTCTTTCTGTTTAACTTTTTAAGAAATTATGTAATTCATATTCATCTACTTTACAGACTTCGTGGAAATTCGACAACAGTATAGCTGCTCTGATATTCACATTTCTTTACAATATACATATTTTTTTTAAATTGTATGAAAATTTCCAATATGAATTATATATAAAATATGATTATTACATGGACTGAATATGTTCTTTTATTGAAAATTATAGAATTATGTTATTTGAAATAGAATATTTTATGAAGACCTTTGAAAAACTAGAGGATTTATTGAAGATGGGGAATTGCTGAGGTCGAACTGAAGACCGTTCCGTTCTATATATCAAAGCTCATCAATGAGATTCTTAAAAAACGCTACGTCTCAGAACACTCTAATGCAAGAGTGCCCAAAATGTGTGTATGTGTACATATATGTATATATAAGTCGATGTATGTATTTTTGTTGAAAGTAATTTTGTCAAAATCTTCGGAAACGTCAATAATTCTTTAAGATATTCTTTCAAGAAGTTTGCTAATTATGATCCATAAATAAAAGAAATATAAAGCAATCTATATATATAAAATTCTAACGTTACTGACTGACTGACTGACTGACTGATTCATCATCGCACAGCCTAAACGGTTGAAGCTAAAGAGCTGAAATTTGGACAGGAGGTTGGTCTCCCGCCAAATAGATCCACTAAGACGGGATTTTTGGAAATTCGAATGTTTAGGGGGTAAAAAAGGGTAAAAACGGGTAAATTCGGTAACCTTATATCTCCTAAACTAGAAAAGATACAAAAACAGTTTAAAGCTTATCGCCGTTCATTTAAAAAATAAACGGACAAGTGTCTGGTACTTTTTTAAAATTCGGCCCCTTTAGGGAATAAACGGGTAAAAACTGTATTTTGGTACTTTTTTCGCACCCCATGTATCTTTTAAACCAGTGCACATTCAAAAAATATTTTTGACTCCTTCATAACTTAACGAAAAAATAAAAATATGAATTTAGTACTTTTTGGATATTCGGACGTTTAAGGGGTTAAAATTGTACCTATTTTTGGTACTTTTTTCATAAAACATTGTTTTTGGTTTATTAACTTATACATATGAATACATAATAACGGGCTCCCACTACGATGTTGCAACTTTTTGGAATAGAATTTTTATTTCGTTAATGGGGAGGAAAAAAGTACCAAAAGGGGTAAAAACGGGAAATTTGATTTTATTCAACCACAATGATCCAATTTAGATAAAATTTTTAAATTTAGAAACACTAAATATCCTAATGGGGTGTTATTTGGAACCCCGGTATCAAGTGATATTTTTTGGTACTTTTCATTCTCCAACTGGTCCTTTTTGAGTTTTCTATGACATTGAAATAGAAACATGAAATTAATAATAAAAGGACTTTTTGCTACTTTTTCGTTCTACACAGGTACTTTTTTGAGTTTTCTTTAAAATTAAACCTAGAAACATGAAATTAAGCATGTAGAGCTCGGAGTAAATGAGAATCTATAAAATGGGACTTTTTGGTACTTTTTCGTTCTTCAAAAGGTACTTTTTGAATTTTCTATAATATTGAACCTAGAAACATGAAATTAAACATGTAGAGACCGGAGTAAATGAGAATCTATAAAAGGGGACTTTTTGGTACTTTTTCGTCCTTCGACTGGTACTTTTTGAGTTTTCTATAAAATTTAACCTAGAAACATGAAATTAAGCATGTGGAGGCCTTAGTTAATGAGAATCTATAAAAGGGGACTTTTTGGTACTTTTTCGTCCTTCGACTGGTACTTTTTGAGTTTTCTATAAAATTTAACCTAGAAACATAAAATTAAGCATGTAGAGCCCTTAGTAAATGAGAATCTATAAAAGGGGACTTTTTGGTACTTTTTCGTCATTCGACTGATACTTTTTGAGTTTTCTATAAAATTTAACCTAGAAACATGAAATTAAGCATGTAGAGCCCGGAGTAAATGAGAATCTATAAAAGGGGACTTTTTGGAACTTTTTCGTCTTTCGACTGGTACTTTTTGAGTTTTCTATAAAATTTAACCTAGAAACATGAATTTAAGCATGTAGAGCCCAGAGTAAATGAGAATCTATAAAAGGGGACTTTTTGGTACTTTTTCGTCCTTCGACTGGTACTTTTTGAGTTTTCTATAAAATTTAACCTAGAAACATGAAATTAAGCATGTAGAGCCCAGAGTAAATGATAATCTATAATAGGGGACGTTTTGGTACTTTTTCGTCCTTCGACTGGTACTTTTTGAGTTTTCTATAAAATTTAACCTAGAAACATGAAATTAAGCATGCGGAGGCCTTAGTTAATGAGAATCTATAAAAGGGGACTTTTTGGTACTTTTTCGTCCTTCGACTGGTACTTTTTGAGTTTTCTATAAAATTTAACCTAGAAACATAAAATTAAGCATGTAGAGCCCTTAGTAAATGAGAATCTATAAAAGGGGACTATTTGGTACTTTTTCGTCCTTCGACTGGTACTTTTTGAGTTTTCTATAAAATTTAACCTAGAAACATGAAATTAAGCATGTAGAGCCCTTAGTAAATGAGAATCTATAAAAGGGGACTTTTTGGCACTTTTTCGTCTTTCGACTGATATTTTTTGAGTTTTCTATAAAATTTAACCTAGAAACATGAAATTAAGCATGTAGAGCCCGGAGTAAATGAGAATCTATAAAAGGGGACTTTTTGGAACTTTTTCGTCTTTCGACTGGTACTTTTTGAGTTTTCTATAAAATTTAACCTAGAAACATGAATTTAAGCATGTAGAGCCCAGAGTAAATGAGAATCTATAATAGGGGACTTTTTGGTACTTTTTCGTCCTTCGACTGGTACTTTTTGAGTTTTCTATAAAATTTAACCTAGAAACATGAATTTAAGCATGTAGAGCCCAGAGTAAATGAGAATCTATAATAGGGGACTTTTTGGTACTTTTTCGTTCTTCGACTGGTACTTTTTGAGTTTTCTATAAAATTTAACCTAGAAACATGAAATTAAGCATGTAGAGCCCTTAGTAAATGAGAATCTATAAAAGGGGACTTTTTGGTACTTTTTCGTCCTTCGACTGGTACTTTTTGAGTTTTCTATAAAATTTAACCTAGAAACATGAAATTAAGCATGTAGAGCCCTTAGTAAATGATAATCTATAAAAGGGGACTTTTTGGTACTTTTTCGTCTTTCGACTGGTACTTTTTGAGTTTTCTATAAAATTTAACCTAGAAACATGAAATTAAGCATGTAGAGCCCGGAGTAAATGAGAATCTATAAAAGGGGACTTTTTGGTACTTTTTCGTCCTTCGACTGGTACTTTTTGAGTTTTCTATAAAATTTAACCTAGAAACATGAAATTAAGCATGTAGAGCCCGGAGTAAATGAGAATCTATAAAAGGGGACTTTTTGGTACTTTTTCGTCTTTCGACTGGTACTTTTTGAGTTTTCTATTAAATTGAACCTAGAAACATGAAAATAAGCATTTAGAGCCCGTAGTAAATGAGAATCTATAAAAGGGGACTTTTTGGTACTTTTTCGTTCTTCAAAAGGTACTTTATGAATTTTCTATAATATTGAAAATAGAAACATGAAAGTATGCATGTAGAGCCTGGATTAAGTGAGAAACTATAAAAGGGGACTTTTTGGTACTTTTTTGTTCTTCAAAAGGTACTTTTTAAATTTTCTATAATATTGAACCTAGAAACATGAAATTAAACATGTAGAGCCCGAATTAAGTGAGGACCTATAAAAGGGGACTTTTTGGTACTTTTTCGTCCTTCGAATGGTACTTTTTGAGTTTTCTATAAAATTTAACCTAGAAACATGAAATTAAGCATGTAGAGCCTGGAGTAAATGAGAATCTATAAAAGGGGACTTTTTGGTACTTTTTCGTTCTTCAAAAGGTACTTTTTGAATTTTCTATAATATTGATCCTAGAAGCATGAAATTAAGCACATAGAGCCTGGAGTAAATGAGAATCTATAAGAGGGGACTTTTTGGTACTTTTTCGTTCTTCAAAAGGTACTTTTTGAATTTTCTATAATATTGAACCTAGAAACATGAAATTAAGCAAGTACAGCCAAGATTAAGTGATAACCTATAAAAGGGGACTTTTCGGCACTTTTTCGTTCTTCAAAAGGTACTTTTTGAATTTTCTATTATATTGAACCTAGAAACATGAAATTAAGTACGTAGAGCCCGGAGTAAGTGAGAACATATAAAAGAGGACTTTTTGGTAATTTTTCGTTCTTCAAAAGGTACTTTTTGTGTTTTTTATAACATGAAATTAACCATGTGGAGCCCGGAGTTAATGAGAATCTATAAAAGGGGACCCTTTGGTAATTTTTCGTTCTTCAACTGGTACTTTTTTAATTTTCTATAATATTGAACTTAGGAACATGAAATTAAATAAAAGAGGTCTTTTGTTACTTTTTCGTACTTCATTGGTACTTTTTGAGTTTTCCAAAATATTGAATATATAAACATAAATTTAAATAGGGGACTTTTTGATATTGCAGATATATATACATTTACAATAATATTTATTTTATTCCATTACGATGAGGGTAGCGAAGCACACTGGGTATAGCTAGTATATTATATTTGAGAAACCTGTCAATACATATGTTTATTTATAACTACTAACACTGGTATATCTTTGTGGTAGTTGTGGTATTTTTTTTTTCTTAATATAATTTTTTTGTTGCAACTTTCTTTTAAAATACATATAGGTCAAATATATTATATACTATATAACATACAAACGTATATACTTTTCAAATGAAAAGATTACTTTCAATTCTACAATCAGTCTCTAGAATCATTAAGAGAAAAATCAAGGTGAATAAAAATCACTAATTAAAAAAATAAAACATTTTATTCCAATGTATTTTTCAATACTATTGACACTCCTAATATTGAAAATTTCTATTGGAGTTGATCCGGATAAATGTTCTTATGAGAAAACAGTAAATTTAACGAATCACAAGAAGTTCGATAATGGATCATATCTGTATGAGGGTATTTTAATACCACCCGAAAAACAGGATTTCTATGATTATCGTTTGGATTTCATGAAGAAAAAAATAACAGTTCCTCGCCATCTAAGAGGTTGTGTTTGTAGTGAGAAACAGCCCTGCATTAAATTGTGTTGCGAAAAGGAAGAGTATCTTAATATCGATGAATGTGAAAAAGTAACTAGGGAAATGAAAATTCAGTGGAAATTAACAATACAACGAACGAATTATAAAAATGAAACTGTAGATGTATTTAAACATTTTAAAACACAAGTGGGAATGCCTTGCAGGTGGCCAATAGCATTAGAGAAGGTTCTGGATGAATGGATTTTAAAAGAGGTATATATATATATAGAAGAAACAAATTATGAGAAAAGAAATGTTTTTTTTTTTTTAGATAATGCATAATACTTGTAATATTCTAGTCTAGTCTATAATACATTCTATAGTTTAGTGATAGTCTAATCAAAAGTCTATTGAATAGTCTTGTCTATAGTCTAGCCAATACTATATAGTATATCTAGTCCATATTATAGTCTATAATTTAGTCTATAGTCTAGTCTATAGTCTAGTCTATAGTCTAGTCTATAGTCTAGTCTATAGTCTAGTCTATAGTCTAGTCTATAGTCTAGTCTATAGTCTAGTCTATAGTCCAGTCTATAGTCTAGTCTATAGTCTAGTCTATAGTCTAGTCTATAGTCTAGTCTATAGTCTAGTCTATAGTCTAGTCTATAGTCTAGTCTATAGTCTAGTCTATAGTCTAGTCTATAGTCTAGTCTATAGTCTAGTCTATAGTCTAGTATATAGTCTAGTCTATAGTCTAGTCTATAGTCTAGTCAATAGTCTAGTCTATAGTCTAGTCTATAGTCTAGTCTATAGTCTAGTCTATAGTCTAGTCTATAGTCTAGTTTATAGTATAGTCTATAGTCTAGTCTATAGTCTAGTCTATAGTCTAGTCTATAGTCTAGTCTATAGTCTAGTCTATAGTCTAGTTATAGTCTAGTCTATAGTCTAGTCTATAGTCTAGTCTATAGTCTAGTCTATAGTCTAGTCTAGTCTATAGTCTAGTCTATAGTCTAGTCTAGTCTATAGTCTAGTCTATAGTCTAGTCTATAGTCTAGTCTATAGTCTAGTCTAGTCTATAGTCTAGTCTATAGTCTAGTCTATAGTCTAGTCTATAGTCTAGTCTATAGTCTAGTCAATAGTCTGGTCTATAGTCTAGTCTATAGTCTAGTCTATAGTCTAGTCTATAGTCTAGTCTATAGTCTAGTCTATAGTCTAGTCTATAGTCTAGTCTATAGTCTAGTCTATAGTCTAGTCTATAGTCTAGTCTATAGTCTAGTCTATAGTCTAGTCTAGTAGTCTAGTCTAGTCTAGTAGTCTATAGTCTAGTCTATAGTCTAGTCTATAGTCTAGTCTATAGTCTAGTCTATAGTCTAGTATAGTCTAGTCTATAGTCTAGTCTATAGTCTAGTCTATAGTCTAGTCTATAGTCTAGTCTATAGTCTAGTCTAGTCTTAGAGTCTCTAGTCTATAGTCTAGTCTATAGTTTCTAGTGTCTTAGTCTAGTCTATAGTCTAGTCTATAGTCTAGTCTATAGTCTAGTCTATAGTCTAGTCTATAGTCTAGTCTTAGTCTAGTCTCTAGTCTAGTCATATAGTCTAGTCTCTATAGTCTAGTCTATAGTCTATCTATAGTCTAGTCATAGTCTAGTCTATAGTCTGTCTATAGTCTAGTATATAGTCTAGTCTATAGTCTAGTCTATAGTCTGTCATAGTGTATCATTCTATTTTTAGTTATTTATAGTCTAGATGGTCTAAAGTTTAGTATATATCTTATTCGATGAATACTAGAATCTATATCGTCTTGATATCTATTGTTTTCTAATTAATTATTTTTCTAGAATGGAAAATGTATATATTTTATGATTGATGAAACTGAACATCGCTTTGAATCATGTTACTCACCACTACAGTTAGAGGGAGATTCTTCTGACATATGCACTAACACCATTCGTTTGTTTCGCACCGAACATACTATCCTGGAAAATTTATCTAAGTTTCTTTGGTAAACAAAACCAAATATAATTAAATATTTTAATATGTTTAAGAAGTTCTAAAACGTATGCTGTATACACACGGCTATTAGATCTTACAACGTTGGCAGTATAATGTACAGAAAATGTTTAATAATACTGTCAACTTACAAATTGTGTCTTGCAATATTGTCTTGCTTTTTCTGACAAAGTTGCAAAAGAAAATTTGTAAGTTCAAACGATTATTAGACATTTTCTGAACATTTTACTGACAACGTTGTAAGATCTAACAACCGTGTACCATGTCATGTACTTTCCTTTTAGCGCCCGTTATATCAATGTTATTTTTATTACCTACACTATTAGTATACTTAGTGTTAAAAGAATTAAGGCAACACATGAGTGGCCAACTAATGATTTGTTATGTATTGTCTCAGATTATATCAAATGCCATTATCTCGTTTATAAATATCTCGAATTTAAGTTTCGGTTTTCTATCATGCTTTATAATGGGTGAGTAAACATAATTTTCATTTTCTTTAATTTTTCTACATATGTAAAGGATATGGGAAACTATAATTTTTTGTTTGTCACATGATTTCGTCAAGTATTTATTTGATAGATTAATAAGTTAATTTAACTTTTATTTGTGTTTTTTAAGGTTATACTGCATACTTCTTCTATTTATCTTTATATTTATGGCTGAGTGTTTTGTGTTATGACATTTCGAAATCTTTTAATAATATTAATGCTGAATTGAATTTAAGAAAAAATCGCAAGAAATTTATTATATATTCATTGTATGTCTGGCTAAGTGCAGGTCTAGCAACTGCAATTGGCATTTTATTAGAACTATTGCCGAATGTGGATGAAGCGTATAAGACCGGCATTGGTTTGAAAATGTGTTTTATAAATTGTAAGTTACAAAGTTTTACAAATATGTAAGTATGTACATACATAAATATTTATAAAGATATACATCACCTTTGTTGAAAGTGTCTATATATTTACTTAATTTTGGAACTGAACTAGAACTAAACTAAAACTGAATTAGAACTGAACTAGTACTGAACTAGAACTGAACTAGTACTGAACTAGAACTGAAATAGAACTGAACTAGAACTGAACTAGAACTGAACTAGAACTGAACTAGAACTGAACTAAAACTGAACTAGAACTGAACTAGAACTGAACTAGAACTGAACTAGAACTGAACTAGAACTGAACTAGAACTGAACTAGAACTGAACTAGAACTGAACTAGAACTGAACTAGAACTGAACTAGAACTAAACTAGAACTGAACTAGAACTGAACTAGAACTGAACTAGAACTGAACTAGAACTGAACTAGAACTGAACTAGAACTGAACTAGAACTGAACTAGAACTGACTAGAACTGAACTAGAACTGAACTAGAACTGAACTAGAACTGAACTAGAACTGAACTAGAACTGAACTAGAACTGAACTAGAACTGAACTAGAACTGAACTGAACTAGAACTGAACTAGAACTGAACTAGAACTGAACTAGAACTGAACTAGAACTAGAACTGAACTAGAACTGAACTAGAACTGAACTAGAACTGAACTAGAACTGAACTAGAACTGAACTAGAACTGAACTAGAACTGAACTAGAACTGAACTAGAACTGAACTAGAACTGAACTAGAACTGAACTAGAACTGAACTAGAACTAGAACTGAACTAGAACTGAACCAGAACTGAACTAGAACTGAATTAGAACTGAACTAGAACTGAACTAGAGCAGAACAGAACTGAACTAGAACTAAACTGAACTAGAGCAGAACTAGAACAGAACTGAACTAGAACTAAACTAGAACAGAACTGGAACTGAAGCATTGAAACTCTTATATAAATCATTATTATAACTTTAATACCGAATTAGCAATATAAAGTACTAATTTTTAAACGGAACCTATATACTGCCATTTTAGCTGAAAAATCGTCTGCCATATTTTATTTGTATGGACCATCACTCTTAATTTTACTCTTCAATTTAGTAATATTTATACGTTTGATAGCAATGATCTACAAAACAAGGCGAGATGCAGCAAGACTGATGCGAAACAGAAATATATATAAACAAAAGTAAGTAAAACTTAACGAAATTATTAAATACATGAATATGTATGAATGTGCAATGCATGAAAGGTTAAGGATTTTAATAATATATTAAAATTTTAATATATGTACATATATTTGTTGATAAATCTTATATACATACTTATATGTAATTTGACCTGCAGTGCACTTGTGATTTTGCGTTTGTCCCTCATATTGGGCATTCCTTGGATATTCGAGATTCTTTCAGTCTGGAATAGAATTGAATTTTTGTTTGTTATTGCGGATTTCATCATAGCTATTCAAGGATTTTTGACATTTGTATTATTTGTCATGAGACCAAAAGTTTTGTGTTTAATAAAAAATAGGTATAAAATACAAAAAAACAAGAATTAATTCATTATGAAAATGTTTTTTGTTTACAGATTTGAGAAAAGCGATCAACTTTCTGTGGGAAATCTTCAAAATTAAATTTGCAAACCGGAGTCAACATACTTATATGGAAATACTTTACTCAAATTTTTCTTTTAAAGCCTTAAAAAATTAATTACACAATTTAAATGTATTAACAGTTAAAATATAACTATTTACCATTATAATAAATTTTGAAGTAGATTTTGTTTTCCGATTCTACTCTAAAACAAATTTTTTTTAAAGTACGATCTGTAGCGTAAGTACAAAGACGGACTTAGATGGGCATAGCTTAGTCAAGTCCTGAGTCGACAGGTGTGGAGAACACTGCAGTGATGTAGAAACGTTAAGCTTTCTTAGGGACAAAATCATTTCGAAATATATTTATTGTTAGAGTTATCAGTTTGTTTACATAATTTCAAATATTTGACGAATCAGAAATAAATTTACAGAAATTAGTGGTTACGTCTTTTTCATCAAATGTTTTATAGGTCTAAACGTATCTTAAGAGATAAAGGTATGATGACTGATTAATGGATATCTGGATTGAATAAATCCCAAAATATTTTTTTTGGTAAAAAGTTTTTTCTTGATTTGTGCTCGATAAGAATTCATAAGATTTCAGCATGCGCCTTTGGAAACATTGGTTACAGGTCCACAGTAGCTTTTAATTCAGATCAAATGTCGGAATTCAAATGTTTGGCCAAAAAGCTAACATATGAAGCTACAACTCCAGAAGAGTAAATGGTAGTAAAACCGTACCTACGATTTAAAAACATGTCCTAATCGATTCATCAAATTACTCCAAATTCCATTATTGTGAGGTAATCAAAGGGCAAAATTAATTTTGCATGAAAACCCCTATAAAATATAACAACAATATTTGTTTAATAATATATATTTCAGTCTAATTCTACTGAATCAATTCTGTGACTCAATTATACTATACCTATAACTATTCTAAATTTGTGGTATTCCATTTTCGCTGATTGTATTTTAATTCTAAAAAGTGGAACTCTAATCGCTTACACTCGCCTATACCCTACCACTTCTCTATAAAAAGCTATTATTTAGTCATTCTATGTAAGTACTTAGATAATGGATTAGTAATAATGAATTGAAAACTTTTCATAAAACTTCATTACGATGTAAATATTTTCAAATTTGGGTAATGAGTATTGTAGAAAATGTAGTTATTTCACATATTACTTGGTAATGAGTTGTGGTTATCAATAACTTAAATTAATATTTTTGAATAGAATTTGTAGTCGATTGTATAGGGAATTACGTAGAGTTTCTAACCGTAGTCGATTTTGGAAGTTTTTGTCACAGTTGTTGCTGAGTTAACAATCTTTGGTCGACTGAGAATCGGGTCGTTCCGGAACGGAGATCCAATTGTCTTGGGAACGTGGGTGGTGTGTCATAATGCCCAGTGTCATAATGTCCATAGACCTTATGACACACTAAATTGAGTCATAATGTCCATGGACATAATATCAATTTCAAAAGTGTCACAATGTCCAAGAGCAATGTGACCGAAAGTCCAAGGATTTCAAAGAGTCCATTTATCAACAAAGGCTTTTTTTTAGCGAAGGCAGTATTCGAAATTTTCCAGATTTTAAAACCCCTGAGCACGGCCGAAGGCTGGCTATCCAAGACACTTTTTAAAAGGAATCTTTTCGGGATAAGTGTATTCCTTTCTTAAATTCTAAACAAATTTTCCAATACATTTCAGTTTAAGAAATGTCCATGGACATTATGACATTTTAAAAAAGTGACATAATGTCCATGGACATTATGTCGCTTTAAGGTGTGTCATAAGGTCTATGGACATTTTGACACCATTATTTACCTACTTACCGGGTAAGTAAAGATTTTGCTGGGAATATTTACGTTAAAAGTCATCTAAGAAAATTTTCATTATGTTGACAAAACGAAATTGAGTGTAATGAACAGTTGTATAAACTAATATTACTACCCTAATGTAGTTTTGTAAGATAATTATAACTATATATTATTAACAAATACAATTATAAGGTAAATTTCTCTAATCAGTCTTTTAAAGTCATTTAAGAATATATCACGGTGAAAAATAAAATATTTTTTTTTGTAATTTAAATTAATAATTTAGCATGGATCTTCTAATACATCTAAAACTTCTAACATGGCTAATTAACATCATACTTCCATTGACAACTGCTCAAATGGATCCATGTCCCTTTGAACATACTGTAAATTTAACCAATCACCAGCGTTTCAATAATGGCTCATATCTCTATGAGGACATTTTAATACCACTCGAAAAGCAGGGCTTATACGGTTCAGATACAGTTCATTTGCATGAGAGAGGTTGTGTTTGTGAGGAGAAACCTTGCATGGAATGGTGTTGTGAAAAGGATGAGTTTTTATCCGTTATGAATACATGCGAAAAGTTTACTCAGCCAATTAAAGTTAGGCACATATTACCAATATTACTAAAGACTAATGAAATAAAATATATGAATGTATTTAAACATTTTACCACTCGTGTGAATATGCCTTGTGATAATCCGGTATCAATAGACAGAGAAAACCGATTCTGGATTTTGCAGGAGGTAAGCTTTAAGATTTATAAAAAAAAAAATCTGGTGGCAAAAATTAACCAATCGAGTCCTTAGACTAGTACTTGCTTAAGTAAGTCCATAAATAATTAAAAAAATCACTCCGCAACTTTGACCCCTTAAACATACATAAAAGCCTTTTAGGAGATCAGTTTTTTATAAAAAATTGTCTAAATTAAGATGTGTAAAATAACTATTAATTTAAAAAACGTTTTAATTCTATTTCCAGAATGGACTTTTAAATCTGAAATATAGCGATGTCATTTCTGCTTATTGCTTCTCACCAGTTTTAAATCAAGACACTTTGAAAAATGTTTTAAGTCCATTCGCTTGTCGTGCTCCATTCACTTGGCGAAAATATCTATCTATGATAAGTAATATAAATTATATAATTTTTATTTGAAGATTTATAAAAGAAAAATGTTTCCATTATTTTAGACCCGATTGTAAATCTAGTGTTCTTGTTACCCACAATATTGTTGTATTTATTTTTACAAGAATTAAGAAAACCGCTGGGTGGTAAACTCTTCATTTGCTATTTGCTGTCATTTTCAACAATGTGTGCCCTTCTAGTGTTTATAAATGCGGGAAATTTTCTTGATCCTGTGCCGTGTTATGTTTTAGGTAAGAATATGTTTATATATACCCTATAGACTAGTAATTCCCAGCAAAAACTGAGTAATAGCTTTCAATTGTAATTACTTACCTAACAACATACTTTTCTATGACTACTATATGTCGTCTGGATTACATAGAAGTAGTCTAATAATGTGTTATATAAATATTTTCTAATTCATTAGTCATCTTGCCAGTGAATATACAGATGCTGTATACGTTCATTTATGTGATTTACAATGACTACTCGGCTACCCAGCAAACAAATAACTTCTAAAGAAGTGAAAAGGAAGTAGAATTTACTCCATGGAAATACTGAAAAAGACCTTAGGAAGTCATGATTTTAACACAGACTTGTCATAGGTGGGATGTTCATTTTATTTGATTCCAAATTCACTACATCTCAAGTCATTCTCAGGAAGTAATTTTTATGTTCTTTTTTTGAAAGTTATTAGGAAGTGAAAAAAATTTCAGTACAGAAATATATATCTTCAATTAAAAAAAATCATTATTTTCGTTTCTTTGGAAGTCAATAAAGATCACTTTCACAGAAGGTAAAAAATTCATTTAGATCTACTTTTGAAGTGGTAATAAAAGTTATTCTTTTAAAAGTACTTCGTTTTATATCAGTACAATAGTTATGTTAAAAACAATTCTGCAATATTTTCGAAATGAGTCTAAAAAATTCCATGATTTTGAACTGATTATGGAAAGGATAATTTTTAAAATTTTTGTTTGAATAGTTTTGCTCCACAAAATGAATTAAAGCGGACTGAAGGGTAGATAATCAAAATACGTAGATGTCAAAATTGTCCGCAAAGTTTTTGAGACCCATTTCGAAAAGATTATAGACAATGATCATTATATGTACATATTGAACGGAGGATTCGCTCACAAAATTATTTTTTTTTTTGTTTTCTTGTTATCAGTACCTTATGAGTAATAACATGAAGTTTTAGAGTTATTCCCAGAAAAAAAAGTGTTTCACTTTTATATAAAAATTATATTATTATATATCTTTTATATATTTTAGGTTACGCCGGTTACTTTTTCTATTTATCGTCTATTTTATGGCTGAGTATTTTATGTTTGGACATTTGGAAAAATTTTAATACAATTACCGTTGAATGGGATTTAAAAAAGAATCTTAAACAATTTTTAATATATTCTCTATATGTATGGCTAACTGCTGCACTAGCTACTGGAATGTGTATTTATATGGATCTATTAGAGAATGTCGATGATATTTATAAGTCGGGTGTTGGTGATAGCTATTGCTGGTTTGATTGTAAGTAAATCTACATATAGAGATTAATATATAATTTAGACTTTGTAGACTGATCTAACGTTTTATATATAGCTTATAGTCAATATTTACTTACAGACTATGCTATGATATATATATAAGTTTTGAAAATGGATGTCCTGACCCTCCATGACTGAAACTCAAAGTAGGAAACTAACATTCACCTTTACTAACATCAGAATATAATAGTTTTATATAAGCTTAAATAATACATTTGATTATCGTACTGATCGAACTACATTTCACATTAACATTAATACGGAGATTTCTTCCTTTAATTTATAAAAGTTGTCCTACAATGATTCCCACAGTGGATTATCCAAGTTATCACAAACTTTATTTTACAACAATTTTTATAATTCTTTCTACTATGCATATATATCGACAGACCTAACGTCTTATATATAACTTACAGTCAAGGCTAAAGTATGAACTATGCAAAGATATACATACTTAAGTTTTGATAATCAATGTCCACAAGGAAAGCTCCAAGTAGGAAACTGACATGTCTCTCTACTAACATCGGCACAGAATAGTTTTATATACATACTGATCGATTATAAAATATTAATAATATTGTATCTTCATTATAGTTACCAAGAAATCATCGTGGTTATATTTATTTGGACCCTGCCTTCTAATTGTACTCTTCAATTTAGCTACTTTTATACGTTTGATAATAAATATCTACAGGACACGACGAAATGCCGGCAGATTGAAACAAAACAAGAAAGTCCTCAAAGAAAAGTAAGTATTGATCCTAATAATAGAAGAAATCTTTTCATAATTTAGGAAACAAAATATGTCAAGATTTACATTTATTCGAAAGTGGAAAATAAATCTGTTATATCTAATGCTATATATACACGATTGTTAGATCTTACAACGTTGGCAGCAAAATGTACAGAAAATGTCTTCCAAAAAAATTGTAAGTTCAGAAGATTGACATTTTCAGAACATTTTACTGACAACGTTGTAAGATCTGACAAACGTGTATCACTGCTTTAAACGGTTAGTCCGACAACTCCGCCTAATGAATGTGAAATTATCATTTATAACAGAGCAATCGTTTTAAAGCTAAAGATTTATTTAATCTTGTTTCTTCTACACCATTAGTTTCGATATATCGATGATATATGATCTTACTATTGAAAGCTTGATAATGTAAATAAAAAAAGCTTCTTGATACAGTCTCTTGAGCATTAAAACTGGCCAATATCGAATGAACCGATAAAAAGTATAATATATATTGTTTAATCTATTTAACAGTGCACTTATTACTCTGCGTTTAATGTTAATAATGGGTATTCCTTGGATATTAACTATTATATCGTACTTTATACCAGCCGGTACCACAGGTGATTTAATTTCTTCAATTGCGGAATTTGTACATATTATTCAAGGCATTTTGGTATTTATATGTTTTGTTTTAAGACCAAAAGTATGGTATCTTTTAAAAATGAGGTAAATATATAGATTGTTAATTTTTTTTTTTTTTTTGTTTTTCATTAAAACATTAATTTTTTCCACAGATTTCGTAGAGCTGATACTTTGGAGACCTTAATATTTTGAATGTTCAGGAAGGAAAATTATTTTTAAAACCTATATTCATTTTGTTTGTAAAATTTCTTGAAATAAATGTAAAATTTTGTATACTATACATCTCAATGTCTCTCGGTGGAAATTTACATATATGAAATTTCCATACTGGAGTGCACTTTGCTCAAGTACTTGATCTATCAAATCTCGGACCATTACTGCCCGGTTGCTTAACTTTCGAGATGCATATCGAATATCGCTTCTGTTGGCTTCTGTTGAGTCGACAACAACACCTAGAGCCTCACAGAGAACACATTTAACATCAACCAATTTCCAACGCTTAGTCCTCTGTGGGGTAACTATGTATTGTCATTCGGCATCATCAACTAACTTATCCCGAAATATAAACTTCACCGTGCATTTGTCTTTAACCAGCAATTCACTTTTCTCGCGAATATAGCCAGGACAAGTCCTGCGGGCAACTGGTCACCCTTAGCATCTGATTTTGTAGTTATCTGGTTTGACTCTATGTCAAATCATTCATTGAAAAGTCCGAGGAGAGAAGTGACATCACCTGTTTATACTCCCGGTAGAATAGAGGTACTGGTACCACCTCCTTACCCCAAGATTGCAATACACCATAAAGAGGGTCTTGAAAAATGGTAATTCTTCAAACTTCATGACACTATATCTGAAAAACCTAATTTGAGACCAAATTAGAAAATAGAAGGTTTTCATATTCAGAACGTACCTTGAACGTCACCTAAAGTATTCACATTAAAGCTATGCCATGAATATATTTAAACGCATGATTCATTTCACTAGTTCCCTTCTATATGACTGACTGCTGGATTAGCTACTGGTATTTGTTTTTTAATAGAACTATCAGCGAATCAGGATGATAAATATATATACCGGGCGTGAGTCAGATGTATTGCTGCTTTAATTGTAAGTATGTTGAATCAACTACCGTGGGAAAAAATCAGCAGGTCCGGTTAAATCTTAACATGGGACACTTTTGATTTCATTTACCATCAGATATTCGATATTTAATTTTCAAATGTATGGCTCGGTAATTGTACCATCCGATGCTCGAATGAAAGTGATTCTGAATCTATCGGTGCTTGCAGCGCCAACGTATTATAACCTACCGATTATGGTTGTGTAGGTTACTAAGACATCATGGAATATTTTTTTTACCATAGAAGTCCAATTATTACATATTCTCGCATAAATATGGCTGTGATTCCCTAATGTTTTATATCGATACTCTTATGTTTTGGAAGTGGATATATAAATGTTATAGAATTATTTTTATTTATTTATCTAATAAAAACGAATCTCGTTATAACGAATTTTTCAATTTACCAGAAGGGCTCACTAACATATTGTTAGAAATACAGGAATTTGGGTGTATTTGTAATTCAGAAACTTTGTTGAGCTTTCTTATCGCGGTTAAGACATTTATAAATCTTCAAACGAATAAATACTCTCCAGCAGCAATAAAAATTGACGCTACAGTGTTTCCCAATCGTTCAGATTAATAAAATATTTGACAAAAATGCCGTGACCACTAAATAAATCAAAGCAAAATTTTTTAATTTTATTTATAAATTTCTTATTCTTAATTTTTAAACGATTTATCGAGCTTAAATTGATACTTTGTAAAAGGGGTTGTTATAGTGGATGTGATATATTATGGATCGATCATTATGAATGTTTTAGAACTTAAGCTCTGTTTATGTTATGAACGTTAAGGTCCAGCGGCCCGGTTTTCGTTTTATTTTGCAAAAGGTTCTTAATTAACGTTTTTAATTATGAGATTTTGAAGTTTATTTAAAGAATATATTTTTATGGGGACTAGGTATATAAAATTCCGAAACGATGTTGCCAAAACATTTAACGATTGTTATAATTAATACAAACACCACTAAACTGAAAGGACCATCTATAGTGATTTCAATGTCTTGTTAATGTCTTTGGGAAGTAGAACCCAGATTTTCTTGGTTCATTTGATACCCAAAAGCTCGATAAAGTGTTAATGCATCACTAATACCTAATAAAGTTCCCTTTGTAAACGAGAATGATGAATGTCGTCTCTTTAGAGTTCATTTTACCAAGAAAGTCGGAGAAAGTCGACACTTTACTGTTCCCAAGAAAGTAGAGAAAAGGCTATTTGTCTTGTAGTGACTAGCACTGGGACTGCGTTTTTGTTATCAATGGAATGATAGTTGACTTGCTACTTGTTCAAATAGCAACTTAACTTTAGGGTAAATCCCTAAGTGTTAGTTTGGGACCGTCCCCCGAACTGCTGGGGAATCACTTATAAATATATGTTAATATATTAAATATGATATTTATATGCCGATGTGGTTCTCATTTAAATATGTATTTTTCGTATTGTATTTTCAAATTACAACAAATATATGTAAAAGCTACAAATGTTCAGTCTTAAGAAGTCATTTAAGAATACAATATCATCGGATACATTCCATATACAATGTATTTTTCAATATTACTGTCACTTCTAATAACACAAATATACATTGAAGTTGCAGCCACTTCCAAAATTGCTGATGGAAAAGATAAACAGTGTCCCTATGAAAACACCGTTAATTTAACTAATCATCAGAAGTACGAAAATGGTTCATATCTATATGAAGGCATTATAATACCAATCGAAAAACAAAATCTATACGATTATCACTTAGAATTTATGCACAAAAGAAAAACAGTTCCGGTTCATTTAAGAGGTTGTGTTTGTGAGAAACAGTCCTGTATGAAATTGTGTTGCGAAAAGGATGAGTACTTCAGTTATAAGGATGATCTGAGTAAATGTGAAAAAATAACTCCGGATATGAAAATTGATTGGCAAATGTTAATATATGGCGAAAATAGTAAAACAAAACTGGTTAATATATTCGATCAATTTACTATACAAGTGGGTTTACCATGTCAACGACCGAAGCCACTAGATAAGAATATGGAATCATGGAAATTAAAAGAGGTATGTTTGAAGGATTTTAAAATATATTATTTAGCCAAATTGCTTAAGATGCGTCAATAAGGGGAAATATTTAAAGATACATATTTGTAAGTAGTTTGATTTTTAACTGGTTCGTTTTTAAACTGTACATAGACAGTATTTTACCCCAAGAAGAAAATCGGAACGTGAGAAGTGGAAAATTAAATTATTGATAGTTTATATAAAAATTATAGTCTAAGTAAATTTAATGATGACTTTCACTTTATTATAGTCTCTGACTGCAGTCATCAGAACTTTGAAAAACCCCTATGTTAAAAATACATATAAAAAAATCCCTACATATGTCAATACCGATACTCGTATAAATAAGTGTTGCCTATATATATGTTGACTATAGTATCTATAGTCCTGACAATCATTTCATCTATAGCCCTGACACGTATATAGTCCTAAATTAAAGTCTCGTCTATTGTCTTGGCTATCATCTACAGTCCGGACCATTATCTCGCCTATAGTCCTAACTATAGTTTAGTCTATAGACCTGACAATTGTCTAGTCTAAAATCCTGATTATAGTCTAGTCTAACTATAGTCTAGTCTATAGTCCCGACTGTAGTCTCTATAGTCCTGACTATAGCTTCTAGTCCAGGCTATAGTCTCGTCTATAGTCCTGATTATAGTCCGCTCTATAGTCTTGGATATAGTCTCTTCTATACATCTGATAATCTAGGCAATAACCTTGACTACAGTCTCATTTATAGCCTTAACTATAGTTTCATCTATAATCTTGACTATAGTCTCGTCTCGTCTTGACCATAGGCTCGTCTATAGTCTTGCCTATAGTCTTGTCTATAGTCTTGTCTATAGTCTTGCATATATTCTAGTCTATAGTCTTGGCTATAGTCTCTTCTATACTTCCGACAATATAGTCTAGGCAATAACTTTGACTATAGTCTCATCTATAGCCTTAACTTTGGTCTAATCTTGACTATAATCTCGTCTACACTCTTGACCCTAGGCTCGTCTATAGTCTTAAATATATTCTAGTCTATAGTCTTTACTATGGTCTCGTTTGCGGTTTCGTCTACAGTCCACAGTGGGGCAGAATGGAAATTTTTTGGAAATAAATCTGGCATTTCTAAACGGCTGATCCGATCGGGATAAAATTTGGCGTGAGCGTAGCCAAGGAGTATTCGAGTTTAAGTTTTGAAGATGAACCCTGCAGATGCCCCAAGGACGGCGCTGTGGTGGCTCAAAGTAGGGTACCTACGACATGTAAAATTTTTTAACTCGTGCCATTTTTTTGTTTTTCACCCAAATACAAAGATTTTTATATTTTGTGAAAGCGCTCGACGAGATCTTGAAAAAACATGCTTGGACATACTACTTATCTCTTATAATATCCGAGTTATAGGCATTTAAAAATTTAGTGATACAAAATTTACCATACCTTGGTCCGCCTTTTTTTGAATACCGGGCGTAATTTTGGACCAATTGGACTCAATTTTTTCTTGTTAGTTAGACAACAAAATTTCCAATAATATACAAAAAAATTCAGATCAATATCATTTACTGATCCAAAAATATACGTTTTTTAATTTAAAAATTCAAAAAATTTTAGATTTTTGGCGTTTTTTTGCCAAAAATGTGTCTTAACTCTTTTATTAATAAAATAAAATTTTCTTTAAGAACATATAACAATTTTATAGTTTTCTAAAAGGTATCTTTACGCAGAACGCTTTGGCGTAAAAAACTTGTCCTATTTTTTGAAAATGTTGCCACTGCGTCCTTCCGAATGTGACCTATTTTTTATCAAAACTTCAACTTTGGGCGACATGTTCTAAAATCCCAAAGCTGGGATCAGAAAACTGAAAGCACTTTTGGAAACCTCAATATGTTTTCTATTTACTCCAAAAGTATTTTCCCAGCCCTGAAAGAAATGTGGACCCTATGGGCAAAAAAGTAAAAAATCCCATTTTTGGGATTTTCATTCCTATTTTTGGGAATTGCGGGATGCTCTTTGACCTTTTCAATTTTTTTTTTTGCATTTTCTTATTTGAAATGACAAATTTAACCAGCGTTGAAAATTTCATTGAGTTTTGTTCATAAATAAAGATTTTGTCATATATTACATATTTGTTTAATTTCTAAAACTATGATTTATATCAAAATTTTAATAGGGTCGCAGATAGCTACAACAATTTAGTCCATATTTATCCCTTAATATCATTTTTTAGTTAGATATGGAAATTCTCGACCCTTTACAAAAAATTTCAAGCCAATATCTCAATTACATTCAAAAATATGTTCATTTAAACCTGTGTCCTTTAATGTACCTTCAAAAGGGCCAGAAAGAATTGAAGACATTTCAAATTATATAAAAACTACATATAGTAGAAAAGTAGACAAAACAGGCATATCAAAAATCGAAAACTTTTTAAAACTTTTTGATGTAAAAAGTAAGTCTGTGGATGGAAATCAAAAGAAATTTCTATTAAAATTTTGTAGTTGGATGGAAACTACTACGGAAATCTCAACTTTCAACACATCAACAGGAGCGCCTTGCAAGTCATACGAAGACTTATGTTCAAGGTCAAAAAAAAGAGGGTCACACAAAAACTTTTTTCAATCTCAAATGAGGAAATTGCTGATACATTTAACGAAATGCTGAAAAAGGAAAACCAACCTATGGATGTCGTACATATTGCAACTATTCTTTCTAATGCATCACCAAAACGACTTAAGCGAATTGTGGAAAGTATACCAACTCCAACATCACAATCAAATTTTACTGAAGAGGAAGCAATAGCGCTTATGTTGGAACTGGGTCTCAGTCGAAATAAGTACCAAATATTAAGGAAAGCTCTGCATGAAAAAGGACACAATATATTACCATCATAGAAGGCGATCTAGGAAAAAAAAACAAACTATCCTACCATCACCTATTGCTGTTAATGATGTGGAAGCTTGTATTGATATATCATCTTTGCTCGAAAACACAAGAATTGTGTCAGACTTTTCAGAAGACCAACTAAGGAAAATTCATAACTGTGATGTTGTCTTAATATGTAAGTGGGGATGTGACGGTTTATCAGCACTTCCAGAATATAAACAAGCTTGTGGAAGTCGGACATTAGCAGACTACAAAAGTGTATTTATGTCATCATTAGTGCCATTACGAATTCGTTCATATTCCCTTAATCCATCATCGTCAAGCATCGGAAATTCATTTGAAGATATATATATCAATTGGATTTGAACATATAAAGGAGTCAAAGAAAACAACAAAAGATTTAGTGGAATATTTAAAAGATGAAATAAATGCACTGGAGCCCATTTGCATAAAAATAAAGGAATTCTCTATTAACGTATCATATCAGCTAAGCTTAACAATGATTGATGGAAAGGTCAGCAATGCCATAACAGAAACTTCTTCCTTCTGGAGATGCTCAATATGTAATGAGAAAAAGTCGCAATTCTCAAATATAAACAAAAGCAGAAGTATTAATGAAGAAGTCCTGTCTTTCGGAATTTCACCACTTCATGCCAGAATACGATTTTTGGATTACTTTTTACACATAGCATACGACCTCAAATATAGAAGTGTGCTAGAGAATCTTACTAAATCAACAAAAAATAATGAAGAATTGAAAGAACTGAGAGCTGCGGAAAAAAGCAGAATCCAAGAAGAATTTAAAGTTCAGATGGGATTAAACATCGACAAACCACTTCCAAGTTGCGGTAGTACAAATGACGGTAATACGGCGAGAAGGTTTTTTCGTGATTTTGAAATTACTTCAAAAATAACTGGAATCGACAAGGAGTTGCTTCGAAGAGTTAACACTATTTTAATGGCACTGAATAGTAAACATAAAATTAATGGAAATCGATTTGGGGAATATACATCTGAAATTTCTAAATTACTTGTATCTCTGTATCCATGGAGGGAACTAACACCAACAGTACACAAAGTATTGTGTCATGGTCAAATAATAATTGAATCGAATATTCTTCCACTTGGAGAGTTAACAGAAGAAGCCCAGGAAGCGAGGAATCGAGATTTTAAGCATGTTCAACTATTCAGCTCAAGAAAATGCTCCAGGCAATCACAGAATGAAGATATTTTTAATAGTTTACTTCTATCTTCTGATCCTGTTCTTTCAACTATGCGAAAAAGATGGATTTGTTATGAAACTCTATCATCTCAAAACAAGGAAGATTTAAAGGACTTATATTACCTTCTGGATATGTATACCGATATGACAGATTATTTTATAGAAAATAAGTAGTGTTAGGAATTAACTATATAAGTAGGTTGTAAGAATTAATTGTATTATGTTTAAGATAAACATTTCAAATAAAAAAAGCTATTATACTAACTGATGATATTGTATTAAATTGTGTTTTATATTTCGGTGGGCGGGAAAGGTGGTTTGTGTGGGGTGATTTAGGTGTTGTTGTGCGTGGCTCATAATAAAATTATAACTTTTTATTGTATATACAATGTTATAGTCTTTAATAAAATAATTAACTAAATAATTTTAAAAATTGTCCAAATATTTTATTCAACACCAAATGTATGTTCTCTCATACTTAATACTAAAATATGAAAAAGATGAAATTAAAGGACACAGGTTTAAATGAACATATTTTTGAATGTAATTGAGATATTGGCTTGAAATTTTTTGTAAAGGGTCGAGAATTTCCATATCTAACTAAAAAATGATATTAAGGGATAAATATGGACTAAATTGTTGTAGCTATCTGCGACCCTATTAAAATTTTGATATAAATCATAGTTTTAGAAATTAAACAAATATGTAATATATGACAAAATCTTTATTTATGAACAAAACTCAATGAAATTTTCAACGCTGGTTAAATTTGTCATTTCAAATAAGAAAATGCAAAAAAAAAATTGAAAAGGTCAAAGGGCATCCCGCAATTCCCAAAAATAGGAATGAAAATCCCAAAAATGGGATTTTTTACTTTTTTGCCCATAGGGTCCACATTTCTTTCAGGGCTGGGAAAATACTTTTGGAGTAAATAGAAAACATATTGAGGTTTCCAAAAGTGCTTTCAGTTTTCTGATCCCAGCTTTGGGATTTTAGAACATGTCGCCCAAAGTTGAAGTTTTGATAAAAAATAGGTCACATTCGGAAGGACGCAGTGGCAACATTTTCAAAAAATAGGACAAGTTTTTTACGCCAAAGCGTTCTGCGTAAAGATACCTTTTAGAAAACTATAAAATTGTTATATGTTCTTAAAGAAAATTTTATTTTATTAATAAAAGAGTTAAGACACATTTTTGGCAAAAAAACGCCAAAAATCTAAAATTTTTTGAATTTTTAAATTAAAAAACGTATATTTTTGGATCAGTAAATGATATTGATCTGAATTTTTTTGTATATTATTGGAAATTTTGTTGTCTAACTAACAAGAAAAAATTGAGTCCAATTGGTCCAAAATTACGCCCGGTATTCAAAAAAAGGCGGACCAAGGTATGGTAAATTTTGTATCACTAAATTTTTAAATGCCTATAACTCGGATATTATAAGAGATAAGTAGTATGTCCAAGCATGTCGAGCGCTTTCACAAAATATAAAAATCTTTGTATTTGGGTGAAAAACAAAAAAATGGCACGAGTTTAAAAATTTTACATGTCGTAGGTACCCTACTTTGAGCCGCCACAGCGCCGTCCCTGGGGCATCTGCAGGGTTCATCTTCAAAACTTAAACTCGAATACTCCTTGGCTACGCTCACACCAAATTTTATCCCGATCGGATCAGCCGTTTAGAAATGCCAGATTTATTTCCAAAAAATTTCCGTTCTGCCCCACTGTGCAGTCTTTATTATAATCTCGTTTATAGTCTTGACTATAGTATCGTCTATAGTTCTGACTATAGTTTAGGCCTAACTATTGTCTAGTCTATAATCCTGATTACAGTCTAGTCTATAATCCTGATTATAGTCTAGTCTATAATCCTGATTATAGTCTGGTATAACTATGGCCCTGTCTATAGTCCCGACTGTAGTCTCTATAGTCCTGGCTAAAGTCTGGTCTATAGTCCTGAATATACTCCCCTCTATAATCTTGGCTAAAGTCTCTTCTATACTTCTGTCAATTTAGTCTTGGCAATAGTCTTGACTACAGTTTCATCTATAGTCTTGACCATAGTCTCGACCATAGGCTCGTCTATATTCTTGTATATAGTCTTGAATATATTCTAGTCTATAGTCTTCACTATAGTCTCGTTTATGGTTTCGTCTACAGTCTTTATTGTAGTCTCGTTTATAGTCTTGACTATAGTCTTGTCTATAGTCTCGAATATATTCTAGTCTATAGTCTTGACTGTTGTCCCATCTAAAGTCTTGACTATGGTCTGGTCTATAGGCACGACTACATCATCGCCTTTAGTCTTGTCCTGACTATAGTATCGTCTATTTTCCGGACTATAATATCATCTGTAGTCCTAAATAAAGTTTAGTCCTGACTATAGTCTATAGTCCTGACTATAGTTTAGTCTATAGTCTTGACTATGATCTCGTCTATAGTTATGACTACATCCTCGTCTATAGTCTTGAATGTAGTCTCGTCTATAGTTTTGACTGTAGCCTAATCAATAGTATTGACTATAGTCATATTTATAGTCTTCAGAAGTTTTGATAGTCATAACTATATAGTCACTTCTGTGTTTTTGCCTGACGATAGGTTTAAAATATTATGCTAATAACTGGCTCTTGCTCATAGAATCTTCCAATTTCAATGCTAGATTTTCGAATTCGATCATTATACTGAGACCCATAAAATGTATATTCATTTAAAATAAATCTGTTACCGTTTTCTTATTTACATAATTTTTTTCAGAATGGAATTTTAAACATTTCATCGGATGACTCATTACTGGATACTTTGGACTATTGTTACTCACCGTATATAGGCAACGATACTGCAGAATACATATTAGTACCTTTCAGTTGCCCGATTGTCAATAATGCCTCCTGGCGTATATATTTAAATTCATACGGTAAGACAAATGTTATATAATTCCATGTGTAAAGACTCCGAAATAATTATAATTTTTATAATAGGCATGGTTATATCGGTTTTGTTTTTAATACCCACCATATTGGTGTATTTAGTATTAAAAGAATTGAGGGGAAATTTAAGTGGTAAACTGTTGATCTGTTATTTAGTGTCATTGACCGTAGGTTATACCATAATTAGTTTTATAAATATTTCACATTTACGATTTGGTATTGTATCCTGTAGAATATTGGGTGAGTTATTATGACCGTATGATATGATATATATTTTGTTAATGAGTTTTTTTAAGGTTTCACTTGTTACTTTTTCTTTATGGCGGCCTTTTTATGGTTAAGTGTTCTATGTTTCGATATTTGGATGAATTTTAATAACACTAGTATCGAGTTGAATTATGAAAATAATTGTGAACAATTTATAATTTATTCCCTGTTTGTCTGGTCTGGGGCGGCGTTGGCTACTTTCTGTGCTGTTTATATAGAACTGTCACCAAATGTGGATGATATTTATAAGCCCGGTATTGGAGTGGAAATGTGCTGGTTAAATAGTAAGTTTATTAAATTAAGTTATTATAAAAGTTTGTTAAATCGTGTTCTTATTATTTTTCAGCTGAAAAATGGTCAGCATCCATATACTTTTATGGACCTAATCTTGTTATTTTAATTTTCAATATTATAACTTTTTCCCATATAACTACAAAAATCTATCAAATACGACGCGATATGGCCAGAATGACACGTAAAGAGAAATTCTTAAATGAAAAGTGAGTATTAGGATATCGCACGGCTGGATTTGCTTTAATAAGAAGTTCTTTCTCTCTTGCCCTTATAGTGCTATTGTAATTTTACGTTTATTCTTAATAATGGGTATATCCTGGCTTTTCGATATTATTTCTTATTGTGTTCGTGAACATGAAAATGTGGATATTGCGTTTGTACTTTCCGACTTCATAAATGCCATTCAGGGTATTTTGATATTTTCTTTGTTTGTTTTGAAACCGAAAATTTTGAAGCTACTAAAACAGAGGTAATTTAAATTTTCTATAAAATATGATAAATTTTAATCATAAAATTTTGTTATTATTTCATAGATTTGTTAAGACCCCAAACTACATGCCGCGTAATAGTGGCACTACATGCAGCACCCATTGCTAGGACTAATAAAGTTCAAGTTCTGCGTTTAAGTCTAGTTAAATGTTAAAAGATCAGTTACTAATGTTTAGAAATTAAAACAAAATAAACTATAAACCGAATTTCTATACTTTTTCTTATATAATAAACAAGTCAAAAGTTAAGCCGAGAATGTCCGAGCACATAATACCTAACAATGCAGGGCCGAAAGATATCGTTAGAAAGCCCCGTATAAGAAATTATTAAAACGTTTGATGTTAGTGTGGAAAATACTTACTCATGAAATTTTATCATTCTAATCATATTAAAATGAGATTTATGTCCTTTCGTTAGATATCGGTAGAAGGGCCCTTATAAGGTTTTATGACAGTTCTGTCCTAGGTTTTAAAGTACTCAGTACCTTATAGAAGTTGTTAAAGGGATTGATGTTTATTTGGAAAGTACTTACTTATGGAATTAAATCATTCTATAGATATAATTGCAAGATTTCTGTGCGTTACAGAGATATCGGTAGAAGTCCTCGTATATAGTTTTATGCCAGTTATGTAGCGAAGTGTATACGATTTGATACAACGACTATTTCTTAAAACAAATTATGATTTTGTAAAGATTTGTTGAACACAAAATGATTTTATCAACAATGACTATATTATGGCACATTATACCGCGATATTTGAGAACCACTCTATATACATACCAACACTTGGTACGTCTATGTGATACTTGTGGTATTTTATTTATTTTTTTTTTCTTAATATTATTTTAGTTCCAACTTTTCTGTATTTTTAAATATGTATAAGTATTACAAAAAAAAAAAAAACAAATGTTTCAATAAACTTATCAGTTTCATTTCTATAATCAGTCTTTAAAGATCATTTAAGAATATAATAACTTAGAGAACACAGAATTACACAAAAATTAAATTACTAAATAATTTAAATACATTTAAATTACAATGAACTTATATATATTTTTGACACTCCTAACGTGGCAAATTTATATTGGTGTACCCTGGACATTTGCCCAGGATGACGATAATAAGGAGGAAATATGTCACTATAAAAATACCGTAAATTTAACCAATCTTGAAAAGTACGAAAATGGTTCATATCTGTATGAGGGTATTTTAATACCACCCGAAAAACAAGATTTCTATGATTATCATTTGAAATTTCTGGAGAAAAGGGTATCGGTACCGCTGCATCTAAGAGGTTGTGTTTGTGAAAATAAACCCTGTATGAAATTGTGTTGCCAAAAGGATGAGTATCTCAACGACAGGGGCAATACGAGTAAATGTGAAAAATTAACTTCGGAAATGACTGTACAATGGAAATTGCCCTTACAGGGGGAAAATGATAAAGTCGAAACGGTAAACTTATTAGAACATTTTACCTTACAAGTGGGTTTACCTTGTCGGGAACCGGAGGCATTAGATACGGAACTCGATGAATGGATTTTAAAGAAGGCAAGTTGAAAAGGGAGTGCTAAAATTGTGAATTTTTGAAAGGATGCGTCAATGTGAGAGAATGTATTATTGTCTTTATGTGTTGTTTGATTGCAAAGTTTTTGTGGTTTAAGTTTCTAAAAGTGTGTTTGATTTAAAAATGTTTCATTTGAAATACACTGCTGACAATGCATAGTGTTTGATCGTTGTACCATGTTGAAGATTAGGGTATTAACCGTTGCACAGTGGTATGAAGAGGAAAGTAATTTTGTCACTTCTAAGCGGTTAGTCCGTTGAAATTTTATAGTTAGTTAGTTAGTTAGTTAGTTAGTTAGTTAGTTAGTTAGGTTAGTTAGTTAGTTAGTTAGTTAGTTAGTTAGTTAGTTAGTTAGTTAGTTAGTTAGTTAGTTAGTTAGTAGTTAGTTAGTTAGTTAGTTAGTTAGTTAGTTAGTTAGTTAGTTAGTTAGTTAGTTAGTTAGTTAGTTAGTTAGTTAGTTAGTTAGTTAGTTAGTTAGTTAGTTAGTTAGTTAGTTAGTTAGTTAGTTAGTTAGTTAGTTAGTTAGTTAGTTAGTTAGTTAGTTAGTAGTTAGTTAGTTAGTTAGTTAGTAGTTAGTTAGTTAGTTAGTTAGTTAGTTAGTTAGTTAGTTAGTTAGTTAGTTAGTTAGTTAGTTAGTTAGTTAGTTAGTTAGTTAGTTAGTAGTTAGTTAGTTAGTTAGTAGTTAGTTAGTTAGTTAGTTAGTTAGTTAGTTAGTTAGTTAGTTAGTTAGTTAGTTAGTTAGTTAGTTAGTTAGTTAGTTAGTTAGTTAGTTAGTTAGTTAGTTAGTTAGTTAGTTAGTTAGTTAGTTAGTTAGTTAGTTAGTTAGTTAGTTAGTTAGTTAGTTAGTTAGTTAGTTAGTTAGTTAGTAGTTAGTTAGTTAGTTAGTTAGTTAGTTAGTTAGTTAGTTAGTTAGTTAGTTAGTTAGTTAGTTAGTTAGTTAGTTAGTTAGTTAGTTAGTTAGTTAGTTAGTTAGTTAGTTAGTTAGTTAGTTAGTTAGTTAGTTAGTTAGTTAGTTAGTTAGTTAGTTAGTTAGTTAGTTAGTTAGTTAGTTAGTTAGTTAGTTAGTTAGTTAGTTAGTTAGTTAGTTAGTTAGTTAGTTAGTTAGTTAGTTAGTTAGTTAGTTAGTTAGTTAGTTAGTTAGTTAGTTAGTTAGTTACTTCTAAAAATTTTTTCCATTTACGTTTTCCTATTATTTTTTCCAGAATGGAGTTTTATATATTTCATCTGATGGGTCTGAACTCGACACTTTGGACTATTGTTACTCGCCTTCTTTAGACGAGGAGTCTAATGAATATGTTTTAACTCCATTCAGTTGTCCCATTATGAATATTGGATCCTGGCAATTATACCTCAATACATATGGTAAACAAAACACGATTGAATTAAATTTTTAAAAATTCTTAACAAATTAACTTTTACTTTAGCCATGACTATATCGGTTGTATTTTTAATACCCACCATACTGGTGTATTTAGTGTTAAAAGAATTGAGGGGAAATCTGCGTGGTAAACTTTTGATTTCTTATTTGATATCGTTGACCGTAGGTTATGCCATTATTACTTTCATCAATATTTCAAGTTTAAAATTCGACGTTATACCCTGCAGTATTTTGGGTGAGTTATTGATTTGATATGTATATTATTTGGATTAATTTTAGAAAAATCTTTTTAAGGTTTCACTTGTTACTTTTTCTTTATGGCGGCCTTTTTATGGTTGGGTGTTTTATGTTTTGACATTTGGACAAATTTCAGAGAAACTAATATTGAATTGAATTCTGCTAAGAATGAACTGCAGTTTATTTATTATTCACTGTTTACCTGGTTAGGAGCTGGCCTGGCGACCTTCTGTGCTATTTGTATCGAACTGTCGAATGTGGATGAAATTTATAAACCTGGAATTGGTGTGGAAATGTGTTGGTTAAATAGTAAGTGAGGAAATTTTTATGAATGATATGTTATCTAACTAGGTGTGTACTTTATTTTGCTTTCAGCTGAAAAATGGTCGGCTGCAATATATTTTTATGGACCTAATCTTGTTATATTGATTTTCAATTTTGTAACATTTTCTCACATAACAACAAAAATCTATAAAGTCCGACGTGATATGGCCAGAATGACACATAAAGAGAAATTCTTTCAAGAAAAGTGAGTATTATGCTTATTCCGAAAAACTGAAATATATAAATCCTATATACATTTCTCTTTCTCTATTTCCTCTCAAGTGCTATTGTCATTCTACGTCTATTCCTAATAATGGGCATATCCTGGCTTTTCGATATTATTTCGTATTGTATGCGTGAATATGAAAACTGGGAGATTGTGTTTGTATTTTCGGATTTCGCCAACGCCATTCAAGGAATTTTAATATTTTCTTTGTTCGTCTTGAAACCGAAAATTTTGAAACTATTGAAACAGAGGTAATTCATAATGTTTTATAGAATTCGAATATTTATTTATATTAAATTTTTATTATTTCAAAGATTCTCTAAGAACCAAGATCAGCGAAGAAGTGGCTGTACATATTCCTCAAATTTTTCAAAATTGCCAACTTCATCTTCAAAAACCATATTTTAAATTAAATATATGCTGCCAAATTAAGTATATTTTCAAAAACAGTGATTTACAAATGTATGATTTAAAATATTATTATTTTTATTCATTTACAAATTATCTTTTTAAAAAATAACATTCTTAAGTTTTTTTCTTTATTTTCAATAAAATTAACCCTTAAATAACTATGTACGTACATATTTATGTTTGAAATATACACCAATACCACAAACCACACAAATGTGAAAAAAAGTCGGAATCTTATATATACATACATATATCCATCATGAACCGTCCTCATAAAATTTATTGGAGAAACTTCATTTCTTTTTTATGACAAATTCCATCTCGACTATAGACTAGACTATAGACTAGACTATAGACTAGACTAGACTATAGACTAGACTAGACTATAGACTAGACTAGACTAGACTATAGACTAGACTAGACTAGACTAGACTAGACTAGACTAGACTAGACTAGACTAGACTAGACTAGACTAGACTAGACTAGACTAGACTAGACTAGACTAGACTAGACTAGACTAGACTATAGACTAGACTAGACTATAGACTAGACTATAGACTAGACTATAGACTAGACTATAGACTAGACTATAGACTAGACTATAGACTAGACTATAGACTAGACTATAGACTAGACTATAGACTAGACTATAGACTAGACTATAGACTAGACTATAGACTAGACTATAGACTAGACTATAGACTAGACTATAGACTAGACTATAGACTAGACTATAGACTAGACTATAGAATAGACTAGACTATTGAGTAGACTATAGACTAGGCTATAGACTAGACTATAGACTAGACTATAGACTTGACTATAGACTAGATTATAGACTAGGACTATAGACTAGACTATAGACTAGACTATAGACTAGACTATAGACTAGACTATAGACTAGACTATAGACTAGACTATAGACTAGACTATAGACTAGACTATAGACTAGACTATAGACTAGACTATAGACTAGACTATAGACTAGACTATAGACTAGACTATAGACTAGACTATAGACTAGCTATAGACTAGACTATAGACTAGACTATAGACTAGACTATAGACTAGACTATAGACTAGACTATAGACTAGACTATAGACTAGACTATAGACTAGACTATAGACTAGACTATAGACTAGACTATATACTAGACTATATACTAGACTATAGACTAGACTATAGACTAGACTATAGACGACTAGAGACTACTATAGACTAGACTATAGACTAGACTATAGACTAGACTATAGACTAGACTATAACTAGACTTAAACTAGACTATAGACTAGAACGATAGACGAGACTATAGACTAGACTATAGACTAGACTATAGACTAGACTAGACTAGACTAGACTAGACTATAGACTAGACTATAGACTAGACTATAGACTAGACTATAGACTAGACTATAGACTAGACTATAGACTAGACTATAGACTAGACTATAGACTAGACTATAGACTAGATAGACTAGACTATAGACTAGACTATAGACTAGACTATAGACTAGACTACTTAGACTAGACTATAGACTAGACTATAGACTACACTCTAGACTAGACTATAGACTACACTCTAGACTAGACTATAGACAAGACTATAGACTTGACTATAGACTAGACTATAGACTGGACTATAGACTAGACTATAGACTAGACTATAGACTAGACCATAGACTATAGACTAGACCATAGACTAGACTATAGACTAGACCCTAGACTAGACCCTAGACTAGACTATAGACTAGACTATATACTAGACTATAAATTTTACTATAGACTAGACTATATACTAGACTATAGACTAGACTACAGACTAGACTATAAATTAAACTATAGACTAAACTATGGACTAGACTATAGACTAGAATATAGACTTGCCTGTAGACTTGTATATGGACTTGTCTATAGACTTTACTATAGACTTGACTATGGACTATACTATAGACTACAACAGGCTGGTCTGTTGACTACAAATGTGTACAAGTTAAAAAAGTGACGAAATTGTGGTGCGGGTACCGATATCAGAAAGTACTTAAAACAGTACTTAATTTTTCTGATGGTAGCATAAAAATGTATAATTTCGTATATTTATAAATGTTTGATTCTTTATGTTTGTTGGGTTTTAGCTTCAAACTTTTGCTACCAACACAACATTAAATGTGTTATTACTGGTTGGTAGCACTAACAATGTTAAGCGTATAAGCAGGGATGGAAAATTAAGTATAATTGTTTTAAACATAAACATTTGAAAATTAGTCTATGGACTAAGCAATAGTTGGGTTGATTATCGTCATAGTTCGAAAGGACTTCGTTTCGATAAGGCTACACCACTAATAGGCAAGTTAATGAATTATTCAATGGGGTAATTCACAGGCTAGTCCAGCAAATAAATAGGTCTAGCCTATATGCGAACCTGTAGACTTAATAATAGTCCAGATATAGACTAGTAAAAATAATACACAGTGCTTTTGTCCATACAATAATTAATAAATTAGTCCATTGATTAGTCAGTATGCTACTTTATAGCTGAAAAGTTATGTATTACTTTTAGTTCTGAAAAAAAGCTTTTAATATTTCAAAGTTTCACTTTTCCATGCCTGGTTTAGGGTAGGTTTGATTTTGGTTCGATCACAGAATGATTAAATGAGTGAATGAATGAACAAGTAAATGACTGACTGTTGGTTTGATGGTTCGGTTGGAACAGCAACAACTGTTGCTCCGGATACTTGTTGCTGTTTTTCTAGTTTGTTGTTTGTTTTTACTAATTTCAGTTTATGCGGAGCATTTCAGCTGAACGGTCATTTATTTGTCAAAGACGAAAAAGTACGTGAAACCGTGTTAAAATTCACTTAAATTTTATTCAAACATTTTTCACTAATAAATTGATTTGTTTATAAACAATACAATATGAATACAAATGGAATTTGTTAAGAAAAATTTCAAAACAACAATTAAAAACTCAACAATAACGAAAAAAACAGAATTTTAAGAAGAGTGTTGATTTAAAATAAACAAATCTTTTTGAATAAAGATATTAAAATTATAAAAAAATATGTAATTTTATTAAAAAAATAAAGTGGCCAATTTTTAAAGTTGTACAAAAATAATATTAAAATTTGAGAAAAAAAGTGTGTTTTGGAAAAGAATTAAAAAAAAGTAAGAATTAAAACCTGATAAAAATTAAATGATAAATTATTTATTTTCATTTTCTTTAAAGATATTTTTCTTTTAAAAATTGATTTTATTTTTCCGTGTTTATTTTGAAAAAAAAAAATGCCAATTTTTTGTTGTTGCTGTATGATTTTTTATTAATGTGACACATTGTTTGTTGTTTGGATTTCTTCTTTATTGACATTTACTGTTTTCGTTTTGTGCTGTATGTGGTATGTTTTTCACTTTTTTCTTTGTTTTTATTATTATTACTTTTGACAATTTATAATCTTAAGAATATTGGTAGAAACACACAGAAAAAAGTTAGTAAACATAACTCTTCGTTATAAGTTTGCAACGAATTTTAAAACTCCCTACTTCCCCAAAATTTTGAGATAAAATTCAACATAATCCTTTGATAATTTATTCTTTTATATAAATAGTTTATCTTTAGACAAGTCTTTTTCATAGAAAAAGGTGAATCTTTAAGAGAGACTACTGTCTCTTTAGAATGGCACTTTTAGAAGAGATGTTTTCTATGGAAAAACTGTCTGTTACTCTATCGGTTTATTAAAGAAACCGTGTCTCTTTAGGAGAGATTGTTTTCCTATAGAACAAGTTTCAATAGAAAGCGTTTTCAATAGAAAAAGTGTCTCTTTAGACAGTGTCTCTTTAGAAGAGACTGTTTTTCTATTGAAAAACTGTCTGTTTAGAAGATACTGTTTTTCTATAGAAAAAATGTTTCTTTAGAAAAAGTGTCTCTTGAGAAGAGACTGTTTTTCTATAGAAAAAGTGTATCTTTAGAAGAAAAGTGTCTCTTTAGAAGAGACTGTTTTTCTATAGAAAAAGTATCTCTTTAGAAGAGACTGTTTTTCTATAGAAAAAGTGTCTCTTTAGAAGAGACTGTTTTTCTATAGAAAAAGTATCTCTTCTAAAAGTGTCTGTTTAGAAGAGGCTATTTTTCTATAGAAAAGGTGTGTCTTTAGAATAGACTGTTTTTCTATAGAAACGGTGTCTCTTCAGAAAAGACTGTTTTTCCAAAGAAAAAGTGTCTCTTTAGAAGAGACTGTTGTCTGTATAAAAAGTGTCTCTTTAGAAGAGACTGTTGTCTGTATAAAAAGTGTCTCTTTAGAAGAGACTGTTTTTCTATAGAAAAAGTGACTGTTTTTCTATTGAAAAAGTGTCTCTTTAGAAGAGATTGTTTTTCTATAGAAAAAGTGTCTCTTTAGATGAGACTGTTTTTCTATAGAAAAAATTTCTCTTTAGAAGAGACTGTTTTTCTATAGAAAAAGTGTCTCATCTAAAAGTGTCTGTTTAGAAGAGGCTATTTTTCTATAGAAAAGGTGTGTCTTTAGAATAGACTGTTTTTCTATAGAAACGGTGTCTCTTCAGAAGAGACTGTTTTTCCAAAGAAAAGTGCCTCTTTAGATGAGACTGTTGTCTGTATAAAAAGTGTCTCTTTAGAAGAGACTGTTTTTCTATAGAAAAAGTGTCTCTTTAGAAGAGATTGTTTTCTATAGAAAAAGTGTCTCTTTTTAAAGAGCTTTCATTGCAAAAACAAAGTACCTTTTTTGAAGAGACTTTTCTTTACCGAAAACGTGTCTTTTTGGAAATGTTACATTCTAAATATAATTTTTAATAAATTTGCTTTTTAGTGTAGTGTTCTCAAAATTATTAAAGTGTTTTTTTTTTACTTTTCTATAAGTGTTTAATGAGTTGATAACAAAACTAAATAATCCGGTAATAAATAAAAATAAAAACTTTTATTTACTTTTAAGTTCAACGATTTAAAAGTTTTGTGAAACACTGCATTGTATTTTATTATGGGGTGTGTGATCATATGAATATGAACGAATATTTATTCATTGCAAAAGACAAAGAAAAGACAATTTTAAGGAAATTATTTGTTATTCCTTGACAGTTTATGTACAGCAGAATATTAGCTTTCCTAAAGTGCTAAAAGCTTTTTTAGTCCATAAGAACTTAACCAGTTAAATTAAAAATAAAGAAACTGGTCAGGTGTAAAATATTGTTGAAATGTTATCATGGTAATTCCCCTTAACTGGAGATTATGTTTGTAGAATTAACAATGTTATAGCTCAAGTTGAAACCGAAAAAAAAACACACCAAAATTTAAAAAAACCAGTTAATCTCTAATTGTCGAAGCGTGTACAAGTTAATGCAAAATATTTACAACTTTTTTTTTAAACTTTATGTTCACAACATTTGCTACAAATAAATCTTATAAATATTTACCTTTTTTTGTTGTAATTTGTTTAACATTTTTCTGTTATAAATATCAATTATTATTGCCAATAAATTTCATTCTTTTAAATGTCTTTTCTGGCAAACATTTGTTATAAATAAATCTCATAAATTAACATTTCCATTTAATTTAATGTTTTAATTTGTTGTGACATTTTCTAAATATTTGTTCGCACTATTGGCTAATTTTTATACAAATATAAAATAATAATGCATTTAAAGTTTTCTCACATTTTCCCACAATGTTTTATATTACTAAGTCTGTCTTTTTTTTAAATTTTTTAAATTTTTAAATGCTGCACCTTTAATTTTATGCGATTAAAATTTATTATTTCACAGTAGAAAAAATTAATGATTGTGATGACATGACTATCGTAAAAGCAAAGTATTTTCAAATATTGTGATAATAAGCTTTTAGTGTTTCAATACCCTACCCACCCACTGTAGTGGAAACGTTGGTAAAGCATAAAAATTTCGGACTTGCAGCCATCTTAAAGTATTCTAATCTAACCCCAAACCTCTTTATTAGATAATTAAGCATTGTCCATCCGTCCAGACTATAGACTAGACTATAGACTAGACTATAGACTAGACTATAGAACTAGACTATAGACTAGACTATAGACCAGACTATAGACCAGACTATAGACTAGACTATAGACTAGACTAGACTATAGACTAGACTATAGACTAGACTATAGACTAGACTATAGACTAGACTATAGACTAGACTATAGACTAGACTATAGACTAGACTATAGACTAGACTATAGACTAGACTATAGACTAGACTATAGACTAGACTATAGACTAGACTATAGACTAGACTATAGACTAGACTATAGACTAGACTATAGACTAGACTATAGACTAGACTATAGACTAGACTATAGACTAGACTATAGACTAGACTATAGACTATAGACTAGACTATAGACTAGACTATAGACTAGACTATAGACTAGACTATAGACTAGACTATAGACTAGACTATAGACTAGACTATAGACTAGACTATAGACTAGACTATAGACTAGACTATAGACTAGACTATAGACTAGACTATAGACTAGACTATAGACTAGACTATAGACTAGACTAGACTAGACTAGACTAGACTATAGACTAGACTAGACTATAGACTAGACTAGACTATAGACTAGACTAGACTATAGACTAGACTAGACTATAGACTAGACTATAGACTAGACTATAGACTAGACTATAGACTAGACTATAGACTAGACTAGACTAGACTATAGACTAGACTATAGACTAGACTATAGACTAGACTATAGACTAGACTATAGACTAGACTATAGACTAGACTATAGACTAGACTATAGACTAGACTATAGATTAGACTATAGACTAGACTATAGACTAGACTATAGACTAGACTATAGACTAGACTATAGACTAGACTATAGACTAGACTAGACTAGACTATAGACTAGACTATAGACTAGTCTATAGTCTAGTCTATAGTCTTATCTATAGTCTAGTCTATAGTCTAGTCTATAGTCTAGTCTATTGTCTAGTCTATAGTCTAGTCTATAGTCTTGTCTATAGTCTAGTCTATAGACTAGACTATAGACTAGACTATAGACTAGACTATAGATAAGACTATAGACTAGACTATAGACTAGACAATAGACCAGACTATAGACAAGACTATAGACTAGACTAGACTATAGACTAGACTAGACTAGACTAGATTAGACTAGACTAGACTAGACTAGACTAGACTAGACTAGACTAGACTATAGACTAGACTTTAGTCTAGACTATAGACTAGACTATAGACTAGACTATAGACAAGACTATAGACTAGACTATAGACTAGACTATAGACTAGACTATAGATTAGACTATAGACTAGACTATAGACTAGACTATAGACTAGACTATAGGCTAGACTATGGCTTCATAGAAAATTGTACATCATGGTACTAAATATAATTTTAGGCTTCGTGGTACTAACTTTCGAGGGTGTTGACCCACAACTGAGCACATATTAGAGACCATTTTCCGAATATAACTTTAGCGATGATCATAGTATAACACAAAACTAATTAAATTAATATCTAAGCGTAAAATCAAAATAAAAATCGAAATGTATCACGTTTAAAATCTAATTGTCTGAAATTTGATCACGTATTTTGTATACGATAGCAATATTAGTTTATTTATTTCCTTAATAATTTATAATTATTAACGTGTGGCGAGTAATAAAATTTGTAATATTCATAAAAATTGATGACTATGGGTGACAATTGAGATCGGTTTGTGAGTCGATATCAAATTCAACTTTGTACTTTAACTTAAAACTGAACTTATTCTTTATTGTCCAATAGAATTGTTTAATAAATTGGTTGCGAATAGGTCTATAGTTTTTAGTGCTCCGTAATGCCATCACCGTGTGTCAGTACTTATAAGAGACAAAACCCTTCATAAATTTCGCCAATCAATTCGGAAGCAGTCGGTGTATAACTTCTTCAATCCTTTATACAAAACTAGATTATCTGAAGTGTTGTAAAAGTTGATCTATAATTAGACAGCTCCCAAAAACACCCTTTTATTTGCAAATGGTTTTAGATAGAAGAACAAATTTCTCTGTTTTCCTAAATTTGAACAATGATAAGTATTTTATAATAATTTTTCCATTTCATAGAAATCATGTTATTTTTAGTATTTATTCCCGAAACTTAAGATTTCAAATTAACTATGAAAATTATCATTTATATTTTAACAAATTCATAAAAGATTAAGAACAAATAAATAAAAGTGTTAGAAATTTCTAAACAAAATTTTATAAAAATACTCAATCATGAATGACTGACAGCTTTTTGCTCTGGTTGTAGGTACATATAGTACAGATCTACCATACCTTGCGGCAAATCAGTAGCAATTTTAAAACAATCGATAATTTTTGAGTGTGTGTGTTTTTTTTGGAATCTATTGAATT